ATAAGACTGATAAATGAAGAACACATGAAAATAGTGAACTAGCTAGAAGATATGTTACAGTTGCTGTATTGTTCATTGCCATAATGTACTGCAGTTTTGTACTACCTGCACGACAGAAACTGTTTGTCAAATCAAATCAGATTAATTTGTTGTTTAAAAGTGTCTGTTACGTATATTATCTTGTCAGATTTCAGGATATAATCCTTGTAATTAATTATGCTTTTTATGGCCTGTTCTTTTCCAGAATTGAAAATTTTGCACAAATGGACACATTTACTGAATTTGACTTATTCTCTGATGGTATATGTCACCTTCAAGCTCAAAGGTATACATTCCATTAGTTTGGATACAGCATCCTTCAGTATCCAAAACTAAAAACATTCCATTATGAAGAATAAGTAATTTATTACTCAAAGGTGTAAGTATGTTAGGTTGACAGATCAACACATAACAGGATGCATTCCTTAAAACTCATTGATGGGTGTATGTTATTATATGTTACATTGATTTCATAAGGATGACATTTCTTGTTGCCCAATTTATATTATATTATATTCAAGAAAAATAAAAGATATGAACATAGGAAGGGCATACAAAATTATGTATTTAGGCATCGTCAGATAATAAATGGGATAGCCCATCACAGTCAGTGATCCTCTTCAAACAATTTTATTTGCATGAAAATGGTCTGTGAATAATAATTGCCCTTTTTAATTAGAAAGTAGGGTGATTCCTATGTAATATTAAGTTTATTTAATTGTATTTTCTTTTATTTTGCTCACTTAACATATAAATAGTTCTATTACTCTGTAATGTTAAAACAGATATTAAAAGAAATATATGGCCTGGATTCTTCAATAATAAATTCAATTATTTTGTTATAAATATAATAAGTGAAAATTATTTAATTGGTAAAATATAAACTCCATGTCTCAATTCAATATTAAAATATCTGAAATTATAAAATGCATTAATTGTTTTTTTGTTCCAGTTATAATGTGTGTATTGTGTATTGGAATTTTCTTCAGGTTTTTGTAACCCTTCCACTGTCACGATGCATTTCTGCATCTTGTGTCTTTCATGTTATGTGTAGGTGATTGCCATTCTGATTAAAACATTTTCAGGCCTTTGCCCAAGGCACATAACATAATTCAGTTCTTTTAACATCTTTTAGCTGCATTTTAGAATATTGGTTTGAAGTATTTTTAGAAGATATTGTTTATGTTTCAAGAAACTTCATAATGTATGCCTGGAATTGTTATTTTCTACGTATCTGTAGGAATTGCTCAAGAAACTGAAGGTTAATCAATTTTATTTTTCCCATAAACCCTTTGAAACATAATGCTGAGTTGCAACGTGAAAGTGAAAGGGTGAGACATACTAATTTTTTAATGAATATGCCAAACTCTTATTTCTGTTCTGTTTTATAATACGAGAACAGCAATGTGAAGGATTAGTATTTCTCATATATTTGGTCAGTTTTAGCCATTGTCATTTTAGTTGACTGCAGAACACTGTTATTTCTGGCCGTGGGTATACATTTCATTGGTATAAAAGAAAGTGGACTGTGCCTTATTTGATGTAGTAGTAATAAGCATAATGATTGCAGTATCTATGTACAATAAAAGAAATGTTGTGTGTCAGGAATTGTGTCACTTTATTTACAAAATATGTTTCAGACTTGGCAGTCCTTCAGAATCTGTCATATTAAGCTACTAGATTCCACTGTAGTGGATCAGATCTGGTTATACATTTTTTTAATTGTGTGTACATTTAATGCCACAAATGGATGAAATCCCATATTAATCTGGAGTTGCCATCTGCCAACCAGCATGCTGACTATTGTTCTTCCATAGGATAACACAATCCACCAAGTAGCAAAGATTTCCAACACATTGCAGGACACCAGAGCCCAGGAAGGTCAGTAACCATAATATGAGACATCTGAAAATATGTTGGTATCCCTCTGAAATGTCTGTCTAATGTTTCAGTTCAGGAACAAGATTTGTCAAATCTAGTAGTTGTTTGTTTCTTATTTGGTCCTGCATCATAGTTATATTTGTTGTAGTTGAGACAAAAGGATCTCATGGTAGTGACGGCAAGTAGGCCTTTGTAGTTACTGACGTTTCGGAGGAACATAACCTCCATCAACAAAGACGCTGGCTGTGGAATTGGTAGCAAAGCTTAAGGGGAATTGAACAGTTAATATATCATACATACAAGTTTATTTAAATTTTGTTCGAAGTTCCGTAATATGTTCAATAAACTTCATTCAAAAGTAAAGTTACTTTTCAGATTTATGCTGAAACTTGTAACGGTATTTATTTTATCCGGTGTTGGCGACATTTGTGTGCGTGGAAGATAGTAAACGTTTTTAGTATAAGCATGGATTGTGTGGATGTTGGGTACGTTGTAGTGGAATTTTAGAACTCTGGTTCTTTCAGGCAAGAATTTAGTGGGTATAATAAAGGAAGTCGTAACAATAAGAAGTGCCACATTTTTTGCAGTGATTTGTTTACATCCAACAAGTTTAAGTAAGTTTAAAACCTGAAAAATGTATTCCTCTGATGAAACAAGAACCAAGGTCATGAACGCAACAACAGAATCCATTGGAAAGTGCGCGAAATTTGTAATTAAGTATTGTGATGGTAAGTTGAAATTTTCAAAGTATTTGTGTACTGTTTGTTGCAGTTTTACGCGATTTCACCGCAAACAACCACGCAGAACGACTGTACAATATAGTGACCCATATCACCGCTTCAGAACCTGATTTCCTGTAACCCAGTAATTGTTATTAGCATGTAGAAAAGTCGTTCTAACTTAACTGATGTAATGTTTATCAAGATTTACCTACATTCACATTACATGATCATCTCATAAACTTGTATTCACAGTTTTATCCAATTGTTTTGTAATATACTCAGCACAAAGCAAAAATAAAACAATTTTTTACTAAATTCATTTTTTATTGGAGGAATTTGTTATGTGAGTAGAGTATTTGTCATCTGCAGGGGACACAAGAAAGGAACAACTGAAGAAACTGGAAGGTGTGATGGAAGAGTGCTGCCTCCTGGAGAACAAGTATCAAGTTTATAAAGCATCCCATTTTGAGATTCAGAAAATGTTGAAACAGCAGAATAAGAGTGATGGTGAAGAAAGTGACACGCAAAAAATAAATATCAGGGAGGTGAGAGTTTGTTACTAATTCCTGCTTCTTTAGGTGTGAGTGCCACATCCACTTCCAGAAGTTTACATTCGTCTTTTCAGACATGGTGTTATCCACGTATGGTTTGTCTTCACCTTGAGGACTCTCATATCGCTCAGAAAGTATCTTACATTCAAAAGAAAATTATTAGATTAATGGCAGGCACTAAAAGGAGAGCCTCATGTAGGGAATTGCTTAAGAAGTTTAATATTTTTCCACCATCAAGCAAGTTCTTGATATACACAATATAAGTACAAGATAGATAAAACCTTAATGTGCCAAAACATTTAACTCAGGAAATATCAAGAAGGAGTTTATTATGCTGAAATTAAACTTTTCCATAATCTCTCTCTCTCCTTTAGCATGGGAGTATGTCCTACCCCACTCCTACTCCAGACAAGAATTTGCCTCGACCAAAAAATCTCAGCTATTAAAAATACATGCAAGCAGTAGTGGGTATGCTTTCTTGTGTAACTATTTTTGCGGTTATAATGTAGCTGACTGTAAATTACTGTAGAATAGAATAGAATGAAATTGAATTTCTTTACATTCCATAGATTCTTTATAGGCCTAAGCTAAGGATGTAGAATATGTCATACAAATAAAGTACAATGAATTAAATGCAAATGTTTAACAGCTATTTACATACATATCTGATATAATACAGTACAGTAATTACATCAAGGAATCATCACCATTTTTATATCTATTTATAATTGAGAATTAGTGTTTGAAGTAAATTCTGCTATGCAGAATGAGTGAGATAAGAGATACTCTTGTAGTGCTGGCTTAAATACTTTTATGTTATGTTTTAAACATTTTATGGTAGGAGGAAGATTATTGAATCATTTAATTCCAGTGAAGTAAACTCCTTTTTGATATTTGCTGAGGTTAGTGTTTGGCACATGAAGGTTATGTCTGTCTTTATCTTGTAATTATGTTGTATACATCTGGATTGGTTTGAAATTTTTCCATGTTGTCCATAACAAATGATAATGATGAAAATAAAAATTTGCTGGCAACAGGAGAATATTAAACTTATTAAATATTTTCTTACAAGAGATTGTCCTTTTAACACCAGCCATTATTCTATTTTCTTTTGGACTTAAAATACTTTTTTTTCAGTCTGTTGAATTTGCCTAGAATATTATTCCAAAATATAATGGAATGGAAGTACACAAAGTAGCCTTTTTTTAACTTTCTGTTTTCATGATTGGTGCTAATATCCTCATACCAAAACATCCTGAACTTGGTTTAGGGATAATATATTCTGTATGTGTTTTCCAGTTTAAGTTGTTATCAATTTGTATACCAAGAAATTAGTTGTTTACATCTTAAATTGTTTTGTTACTCTACCCTGTGTCCAGATTAACACAAGTTTTGTTGTTAGTACAAAATTTCATATGATGTTTAGCTAGATACAGAATATGCGGTGAACTTGCATTAGTAACAGACATTGATAATTCATTTCGTTTGACTGGCCTTTAATGGTACACTACAAAGTTATTTTGATTGTATTCTAAATTTAAGGTTGTCTTATGTACAGTGATTTAGATATCTTTTTAAGTATTTAGTTCTAGATCTGGATTTTAACTCAAAAAGGGCCTACTTCTTACTCCAGTGGTTACAAGAATATTACTAGGATCTGGTTTACATGCAATCTTGATAGCAGTGAGTTGAACTAGCTTCTCCTTACCCCTTGAATTAAGGTGTAATCCATGTCTGGTGTGGTCATATCTAAGGGTGATACATCAGCTAATCTGTCATAACTGTGTAATTTATATTTATATTAGAAACAAGTATTGTATTTGTGCTATGACATGTTCTACATCCTTAGCTTGGGCCTTTGAAGGATCTATGAAATGATCTTTTATTCTATTCATCTGGCTGTCAAAGAAATTATATTCCTGCACATCACTTGTGGTATAGATTGATAACAAAATAGAGTAGAATAATTGTCATTGGATAAGCTAGACTGACTCATCAGTATATGATAGTGATGTTGGTTAGAGGTAAATTTTAATCTACGGGCATGAGTTGCTGTAAACAGTACCCTCCTCAAGACATTACAGTGTGCAGCTACAATTTTTCTACTTTAGATTTGTGTGATTTTGTTATTTTGTGCATAGCAAAGTTGCAGGGATGTATCTGCTTTATTCTGTAGTCATTGTCTTGTTGTGGTTTACAGGTTTTTAACAGGAAGGTGGAGGAAAAGAGCGTTGGTGTTCCCAGTCCAAAGAAACACGAAAAATATATTGCCTTTAAAAACAATAATAAGCTTCTACTGCAAGGTGAGAATTGCATTATCTGTTACATCATGGATTCAGCGTACATGTCTGTGGTTGTAGCATGCCATGACTTTGTGTTCTCAGCTTTTGTTGTCATAGATGAAAATAGAATTCAGTACTTCACAGCGTGTTCATTTTCATACAACTGTTAAATGTAGGTATATTTCAGATTATATTTATGGAAGAACTGGAATTTATTATGTTTTATCTTACTGGTTAATTTTCATCATTCAACTTCACAGCGGAAGTCGGCGATGACGAACTCATGATCATGGGTTCCGAAGTGCTAAATGTAGATCCAATAACAAAGCAGATGATGACAGATCCGATTCGCATCAAGCAGTGTGGCCACACCTTTGAAAGAAGCAGCATCATGAGTCTTCTGAAGAACAGGCGTCACATCAAGTAAGTTCTTCTTCTTCTTCTTAGCATTTCTGTTTGTAGGAAATGACAGCCCATGAGTATGCATGTTTGTCACTCCCATTAACTGTTGTACCCTTTGATGGATTTAATGAAATGCAGTTTGAATATCATGCCTTTTTATGTCATCAGTGATAATACCGGGTTGTTGGGCCAGTGAAACTGATTATTGTCTATGTGAATTGTAGTCCACACTCTGTATCATTATTTTTACCCACCTTTCTTGTAGTGTCTGTTGTTTAAGGTCTTACACATTTCTCATCGTTTGGATTTAAAATTTGTTGTTTGCTACTTTATCCTCTGAAGATACTTCATCTCTGCTGCCTGTGATATAAGTCTTTCTTAGTCCATTTCATAGTTATTGCCCCACATATGTTTTTTGTTACATACTTTTAAGTTTTTATGATGTTTCTGAATTATACTTCTGAGTCTTGTGTGTCTGCAAATTCTATTTGCTGGTTGTTCTTGGATTTTTATATCATCACGGAAATAACGAAATATTTAAACTTCCTCGAAAGAGTATTTAATATCTTTGTCTTGTTTTTATCTTCTCGGAAAATTTTCACCGCTGCGCCTTTATCCAGGCTGTTGTCTTGGTTTGTATGTGTCATTTCTTAATTTCATTTTTCATCTCTAATCTTTGTTTTAACCATAGCAGGACATGGTCACCAGCGCAACGGTTTGTATGTGTCATTTCTTAATTTCATTCTTCATCTCTAATCTTTGTTTTAACCGTAGCAGGACATGGTCACCAGCGCAACGAGTTGTTAACTCTGAAGTTTCTAATTTCTAACTAGAATATCTGGTTGCCTAATATTCTGGTGCCAGAGTGTCAGTCATGAGATTTTGGATGATTTATATCAAGATGAAATGTTGTTTTTGATTCAAAGTGATGCTGTCACTAAAGTTTCCCGTTTGGATGCGAAGGTGACATTTTGTTGTTTCAGGTGTCCCCTTCCAGGTTGCGTGCAGAAACATGTAACTGTCAATGATCTGGAAGAGAACCGTGAACTGAAACTGCAACTGGGTCGGGCCTTGCAGGCCAAAGGGGCAAATCCGATTTAGTAGTTTCTGGAAGTTTGTATGAACTGATACTAAAATTATGATCTATGTACAGAATATATTTAGCATGGAACTGATAACAACCCTTAAAATTATGTGATTTGATTTTTGGTGCAAAGTCACTGAGACCTGCAGTTTTTGAATGTGGGGCCAGGTCCCATATTTTGGTTTCTTGTTCACAGTAACCATTTTATTGTTCTTTGTAGTGTGTGTTCATAACAGTGCTTGTTTTGTCATAGTGTGGAGTTACGTGAAGAGAAATAAAGTAACTCGTTGCATGGAATAGATTGGACTATTGTAATAATTAATAGACCGAACGGTATGAGTGTCCAAAATGTACTATAATTTTTAAAACTTTCTTAGCACACATTAAATTAAATAGAAGTATTAATAGATGAGGATTTCTTTCTAGAGAGCTTTGTTGGATCACTCACAGTCAAAATTTTGGCATAATTTGTCAAGTGATTTTTGAGGTTAAAGTATCCATAAAGGACTCATTTTACTCATGGAATATAACATGCTGTGAAAAGTTATGAAATGTTATAAGAAAAATATAAATTGCATACCAACTTCCAAAGTGTTTAAACAAAAACCTGTGTGAAATGTGTTAATCGTGTTACTGATTTGGATGTAGTTACAACGTAAATTTTTAGACCAGTGAAAGAGTGAGTAAGATGCAAGAGGGCTTCGTAGAAGGTGCAGGAGAACAGAGAAGGCCCCGCCACGAACTGATCCGGCTTGGCCAAACACAAATGTGCGATGAGAGCCTACAGTGTTTTTTTGATAATAATGACCTGCCTCAGGAATACTGAAAGATTCTGTTTGTGAGATTGGCCGTGCTGCTTTCAGTGACACAGAGATGATCTATAGCTTAATGTTGGTTCCGAACCTCAATGGAGCCTAGTGTTCCACATATTCATACTGTCGGACATGAGGAAAGAGAAAGGTGTCCAGGAAATCTGTGCTGAATCTATGTCGCCTCTAACCTGAGAGTTTGCAGTACCGACCTAACCTCAAACCATAGAATCCTCCCTCTGATAGAAAATGTTTTCTGTCCAGCTGTGTTGTGGATGACGTCACGTGGGGAATCGGAAAGGAAGGCAAAGAGGCTAGTAGTGTATTACTGTGCTGTGCTTTCTGTATCAAAAATGTTACTGTGAACTGTGATTGATTGAGGTGCCACGCTTTGAATGCTGCAAGGAAACTAAGTTCAATTCTTATCCTATTGGGACTGTACATCCCTGTGACTGTTAACGGCTACAGGCATTTGTTTATATAGAGGTGACCTGGTTTGTGATACCATGTGGTTTTGTACGTGGTTACCAGTACGTTGGTAACCAAATAAGAGATAATGGCGTCATCACATCCCAGAAGACCGTCATTGACACGTTCACTGCTGTGAGCCCAAAATCGCAGCTTGTTTATGAAACATTTGCCTTTTGAGCTACCTGTCACCATTCAATGTGGATTTCAGAACATGCAACTGTCGTTGTAGTTCTCTTCTGCCGTCATGCATGTCTGCCAGTGGCCATACCACTGCTCAAAACGCTGTTGTCGGTCTTTTTCTGTGTCTTCTGTAGAGGCTGCTGCCATAATGTCTCCTCTTCTGCTGACAGGATCCTGCCTCTTTTTAAGATTTTTTCTTTCATTCTTAGCAACAGGTTGTAATCTGCAGAGACTTGATCTGGGGAGTGGGGAGGCCGTTGAAGCACAGTAATGCCATTTTTATAAACTAGAAGGAACCACTGAGCAGGATGTCTCTCTGTTCATTGTCTTGTTGACATGACTATTTTGGTTTGATCTCTTGGTGAGCGATGCACTAGCTATTAAGGACTCCTGTGGTAAACCTAACCTGACATAATCTAATCCAAGCCTGACCTAAGCCAACCACACGTAACGTTTGTCTGCTTCATTGTTATGAAGGCTGTATGCTTTTAATTTTCGAAAATTTTGAAGAATTCTTTAATTGTATTAGATTTTTAAACAATTTTGGAAATATTTGAGAGCATCTCTGAAACGTCTGTCAATTTGTCAAAGACTTTACTCTGCAACAGACCAGAAGGCAAGCATCTTCTAGGGTGCCTTCACCTATTACGTTTTTAGATCGCAGATCATGAGTAATTTCGCGGGGAACTTGACATGCGTACTGACTTAGTGCCTTATAAAAGCAAATACATTGCCAAAGATTCGCATAGGAACAGCAGTTTCCTGTGCATTTTTGCTTTGTTTATTTATAAGTGACTCTTTGATTGGCAGTGCTATTTTACTTTTTGCTACACTGCAGCTGGCATTGGTCTTCTGCTAGTCTAAAGAGGAACTTGCTCGATATATCATCTTGAGTGTGTCAGAGTGGAAATAAATATATGAAGAAACAAACAAAATATAAGAGAAGAAACATTCAAATACGAATGGTAGGGCATGTGTTTTCTGTGCACTTCCCACATGTACTGGATGTTTTATGGCAGAGCTATGAGTCGGATGTCAGAAACTGTAAAAAAAATACGTGGTAGCAGGGCATTTGACAACGATAATAAATGGTTTCTCGCAAATGGCCTTCGGAATTTGCACTGCTAGCCAGGTTTTCAGTCTTCCCAACTGGTGTTTTTCGTTACAGTTTCAAGAAGAGTAAGAATAATAAACGCTGTAAATGTGCTCCAAATAGAACTTACATAATTTATGCGATCTGTTAACATTCAGAAGATCAGAATGCTGGGTTATTTAAGATAAATGTGCTGTGAAAAGTTCTGTGTTTGTGACGAGTCTTAAGAATATTTATGCTCCAACTTCCGAATAGAAAGTGTCTTTATGCCTTGTCACATTATTTCAGAAATTAACTAATTAAGTAAAAATAACGACGTATCTCAGTTAAGTTACTACCCAATTAACTTAATTATGGAGTATCCAATAACATTGAGACTAATTAATGAACCATTTAACTACACGAAAACAATGTATGTGTTGTTGGAGATGGTGTTAAATTACTGATGTCAGTTGTTTGGACGTTTACAGTCATGGCTTAATGACGATCGAAGAAGTCCAAAAAATTGAAATTAAGAAAAAAAAATTCTTGCAGCAAACCCTCAAGGAGGCCCGATATTTGACACGATCTTAAGTCAGTTCCGTCCACTTCCCTTTGTCGCAATTTATTTCATAATTGTCTTCCCATCTTCTTTTCATAAGCGGAAGCTTTCAGGTTTCAAAGAGATTTCCCCACAAAAATTGTGAATGCATTTTTGTCTCTCAGCCGTTGCTACACGCCCAGTCTATATATTTCTCAATCCCCACAATATTTTATGACCTTCGAAGATGGCTGTCTTCTGGGATGTTGCGCCGTGTAGTCTTGTAGAAGTTTACCGACGTTTCAGAGGTGCTGCTGTTTCCATCGTCATTGCTCTATGATTGAGACGGTAAGTATCCGTGAAACGTCTGTAAACTTCTAACAGGCTCACAGCCGTGATAAACCAAGTATCTTGGATTTGTGTTGCTAGTGAGGTTAATACAAACAATTCAACCAATTGTTGACACTTTCCATGTTACGAATGGGATATTCTATGTAAATAGGCCTGCAGATTTCGATAATAAAGGGGAAGGGTCTCTTGGCAACAGAAAGGTTTTCGGCAAAGGAAATTGTAGGTTGTCATAATATGTGGAGACCTACCATGACATTTGTTTCTTAAATTAAACCGAGGTCAGGAAAAATGTATTCGATGTTCCCGTGGAGCGAAGTGGTTTATTTCTTGAGTTGGTAATCTGTGTGGTGCGCAGAAGCGAATACGTTTGATGTGGCCGCGGGGAGGGGAGTTGTTGCGCCCGGGCCGTGAACGGGGGTGATTCGCTTCCAGGGTGACTGTTAAAGTTGACACTGCTGGAGTCCTCGGACATGTTTCAGCTGGAAAACAGGACACAGAAGTACATCGCTGTGATATATTCCACTGTTCAGATTTATGAAAATAGATTTCTGTAGTGAGTAAACAGTTGAAGGCCGGGGCGTCGTCTTGTGGGTGGACAAGGTACGGTTTGTGCTGGGGTTTTTTCTTTGTTTTGTAAGGGGCAAAGCAAATCAATACGGCTGTGAACTCCGGAAACCAGCAACAGGTACGTACATTTGACGGAAACTGGAAATCTGTAGTTGGAGGATGTGCGTTTCTTGTATGGTTCTGGTGAAAGGTAACCGCAGTATAATTGTTTTATTATTAGAATAGCATAAATAGTTGATAGAGTAATATAAGAAGAACTGTTAATTACAATAACAGTATACTTATTAAAATTATATACGAATAAACTAAGTAGGTAGGAATAGAAATATTTGTAAGAAAGTTTTCATTATAGCAATTACTGTTAATTGGGCCATCGGTTAATCGTGGCAGCCATTTATTATGGACAAATCTTACAGAACAAACCTTTCTAACTCTTTACGTGAAACTTCGCATGATTGGGGCAGAAGCTTAATTGGTCCAAAGTGTTCTAATCCCGATGTGCCCCAATTAACCACATTCACCATAATGCTTGCGCACACAAGAGCACTAATAATTAATATAATTTAATTTCTTCATTGAAATGTTTTCCAACAGCAGGTTTCCTATGGTGGATTGGAAAATACGTGGCTTACATTAAACAAGAGCAAATTGAATCAGATACCTAATTTGGTTTTGTCAACGCCGCCAATAGGTCAAATTATATAGCGTCCAGTGATAGGACGATTGATGAGCACTAGATTGGAAAGGAAGTGGCCGTGACCTGATTGAAGGTCTGTCCTCGAAACCCTCTACCAGGATCTCCGGGCGATATTTGAACCTGCGATACATTGTAATAAGGCAGTGAAACAAATGGAGGGGAGTGGGCTCTTGTAACATCTTTGTTAATTTGAAAAAGTCAGGGGGATTGGTGGAGCTCACGAAACTGTGAGTAATGAGCCCCTTTCTTCATGTTAGCCACTTCATTGAACAAAGTGACGCAGGCTGGGCCAATCGAACTGCCGCATCACACCAGAATGACGCAACTACGCTGCCGCATATTACGTTGCGAAACTGCGTCCTTGGCTCGTTGGTTTGTTCGTAGTGTCATTTGTGTGATGGTTAGCGCTTCCGGGAGGCCCCGTTTTATTCTTATCTGCGCGACACGTGTCCTGACAAGACTTGCGTTTTTTCTCAGTCTCTCCAGTGTGTTAAAATTCGTCTTATGCATTCTGACCGGTTAACATTTTCGTGCATTGTGCCACGCAAATGCCATATAGCGTTCGTAGGAAGTGGTGAAATCAATTTTATGTCTGTTTTAAAGTTTATTTCCGGTGTGTTTGATCTGTTGAAAGCCTTGCATAACCAGTGCTCTTCATTTGACCATGTACTCTCTACTGAAGAAGCCCTATTTCTGTCTTGTTAACGGCAGAGACTGCAACTTTGAGAGGTCTCGATGCCCGAGGCAGCCAGCAGTGCCATGGCTGAGGCCCCACTACTGAGTGATGAGCCAGACTTGAGTACGTTCGAGAACAAGTCTGGCCTGGCTGAGGACATGAAGTTCCTAGCAAGCATGCCAGAGCTCTGTGATGTCACCTTCCTTGTGGGGGACACCAGGGAACCAGTCTGCGCCGTGAAGGCCGTTCTTGCAGCTCGCAGCAGGTAACTAACCTTTGCTGTCGTTATGTGTGATGTGTTGGATGCTTTTGTAAATAAGTTCTATCCTTGAAGGCATACATGAGAATGGGTGTAATAATGAAACAGCTGTTACCACAACACTACATTAACCCTCTGAAGTCCAGCGGCTACTGTGTAACATCTGGTTTTTGCCCACAATTGGATTTTGTATGATTCTGAGAATAAACAGCGACTATTTCCTTAAACAGCATTACCCGATTGATCGTTTTCGTGGAGAGACATTGTGTTTTCTGTGAGGTAGGAACTGAAATACCCCGTTGTGGTCATTCTGTGCCATCTATTAATAGTCCAGTGTCGCTCAGTTATTACAGTTCAGTAGTAATCGACAGTTGCCGCATGTGACAGCCTGCGGTTGTGTTGCAGAGTTTTCCACAAGATGCTGTACCAGGCACCAAGCCCTCAACGCAAGAAAGAGCCGCCCCCTAAGGAGAACAAGTTGCGCCTCTTCCTCAAGAGGAGCAGCGAGCCACTGCTCAACCTACAGAACGCTGCCCAACAGGTGAGATATGTGACTTTGCTTATCTTCAGTTTGCAATGAGCTATGTCTGTGACTCTCTAATTTGTCTACGTGGAAGCTGAAAACTGTCTTGTACTTTTCCGTTCTCTGATCTTAAAGTACCGCTCAGAAGAAAAACAGAGCATGAAATTCATAAAAGTACATTGATAAAATGTCAGTAAGGAAAGATAGCATGTTAACAAACTGGCGTGACATGAACAGAATTTATTAAAATGAATGATTTGGTTGGAATGTTGTTAGGAGACGCGCACACACACCAAAGTGATGATATTGTACTTTAATGATTGTCCCACATATAAAATTTATCAAGATGATCTTTGAATTCTGTAGCATGTAATAGCATAGAATTATTGAGGACTCACTTAAAACCTCGCGTACCGTCCAGAATTTATAACTTGTGTTGGGCAAGGCCGTGGTCTAGGCAACACGGAGTTTTCCTCCGGGGGCTTCCCCGGTTTCTCCGTGGCATCCCAACAATTACTCCATTCACACACAGAAGAAGGCAATGGCAAACCACTTCTGGATCATCTGCCAAGAACGTATATGAACAGGTCCCAGTCCGAGAAAAGGATGGAAGGATCCTGTTCATATGGACCTGTCGTCAGACAGAACACTAAATAATAATACCGTCCATTGTATTGATATATAAAATCATGCATACAGACAAAACTGTTTATACTTGAAAAGGCACTTAGTGCCAGTTTTTGCTTGTGCGCTAGATTTTATATAAGGACTCGCACTACATGTGGATCATGTGGAGAAGTACAAGAAACTTTTCAAGCATTGAACTTACTTTCTTGAAAAGCACATGCAGTGCCATTAATTTGTGTGTGTTTTTTTTAATTGGCTGGCATAATTAATATCTTTCTTTACTTTTTTTGCAGATTTGGATAAGTTGCTTGTTTCCTTTTGTTTGTACATTGTTTAGCACATAAAGTGTAACATGTTACATAGTTATATGTGATACATTATTTTTAGGTCATGTTTGAATTTATTTTGTTGGCTCTGTCTGTCCATTTCAATGGATATCTGATACCAATTTATGAAATGAAAACCATGTTATTTAAATACACAGATTTCTATCTAAAACTTTGGTACCGTGTTGAAATGTCGGTGAGATTTATGATTATTTTACGGGTTTCTTAAGTCGTGCGAGTGAATGGTTTGATATAATCTTGTAATAGGACACACCTACATCTTCTCTAGACCATTTACTCTCTCATCGTCAGTTGATATGGAGTCATTACATGATGTAAAGTCCATCCAAGTCCCTCCCAGAATAATCGCATGATTCACGACTTCATTGCTTAACTTTTCTGTATGTCGGCAATAACAAACGTCTTGGTCATTGTCCATTGTCTTAATTTTAATTTATAAATGACATATCTGACACCGAAATCTGGCTCCATCCTCAGGTGAAACCTGTGTTGGACCCAGTAGATGGAACTGCTGTAACATTAAAAGAATTAATTTTAACTTAACAAAAGTTTTTGTGAAATTCATAATGGCTCGTTTTCACAGGTTGGTTTGTAGGATATCTTCATTGATTTTTGTGATTTGTGCTTATTAACTAATTATGTTTTGCATTGCTTCGTTTTGTAGCGTGGCGCTTGGTTTTAAGTATCATTACATATTAAACTCACTTTTTCTCCTACACAGTTTTCAACAATTAATGACGTTATTTTTCTTATTAGTAGTGGCATTTAAGCTTCGTCTTATTTATTGTAATATTATTGTTTTCATCATGTGTTACACGTAAAGACACATCAGAGATGCCAACTGGTAAACTTTAATACACATGCAGCCTGAATTCATTCTGTCTCTCGTGAAAGACGGTAGCACTTACAGTCTCTCTTGGAAATGCACGTTCTTAAAATCTGCAGTGTAGCGTCCTGTTATGTCCTCAGTTTTATTTTTTGTGTTGAAGCTCCGTCAGTTCAAAAATATCCTCTGTTTTCATTTTTTGTGTTGAAGCTCCGTCAGTTCTAAAATATCCTTTGTTTTCATACACACTTTATGCTGTTTTTGATTTTTGACTAATAATTAGTTATCAACAATATGATATTGGATGTAATGATAAAGGAATATGTGGTGTGGGCATGTGAGTGATTTGCTTTTTAAATGCATCTGTGGATGTGCTTCGTTACATACTCTCATTTAATAATTATGAGTTGATATTCAGGAAAATTTATACTTCTGTGGTGTAAAAGTTATCAGTTGGCGTTCTTAACCAATGTGACTGTTATTCATTAAGGTGAGATTTTTTATGTTGTTACGCGTGTCCATAATAAGCAGGCCAGTGTCTCTGTGTTGTCCCACCTGTGTGTCCACTACTTCTCGTTGTGCTGTTTTGTTATCCAGCTGCTATCAGTCTTTTATGCCTTTGTAAGGTTACATGCTATGAAAGGAGAACACAGCTCTGATGTTGGTAACTCTGCTATTTCAGTTCATACTAACTGTGTTGTTCAAAACACCCCTCACTTGACACATTCCAGAATTATGCACGTCATAACTCTGAAAAAATGTCGCCGACACGTAATAAACTGTGTGAGTTTTGCCGTTCGCACGGTGGTGAAGGTGTCGATATTGGTCTTCTGGGTTATAATGCTATGTGCACTTATAGGGAAATACAAACATTTCAGTTGAACATACTGCCTCCAAAGCATTGGTACGTACCCAAAAGTCTACGCAGCATTATCGTAACCCATGAAACCAAAATCAGTCTTTCAAACTTTTTCCCCGATTTGGTTATGTTCATGAATGATTCTGTGTTGGGGTACGCGTTTGTTAAATATTCACAATATCAAAAAAATGTTTCAAATAAAAGTTTTACATTGTAACAAGATCTATATTTTATATTGTGTGCCAAGTTTTCATACAATTATTTTGCTTTAGAAAAAAAAAATGGTAAGTTACTGAATAAAGCAGGTGGTACACGTACTTACTGCTTGCCTTCCAGATTCTAATTTATTCTTTTAAACTGTAATCTCTCTTTTATGTCTGTATGTTGAAGCAGAGGTTAACCTATGCAGATGCTGTATTCTCTGTATAAAAATGTCTGTCCTTTGACAGCATAGATGTCTGTTACTATGGCAACCAGAGTCATAAAATCTCTTATTTCACTATCGTTGTCTTTGAAGCAACTGCCCTGTTGTTTTTAGTCTATTCTGTTGAGTGTGTTTATTTTTATCAAGAATTCATTATTATATTTAGTTTCTGTAAAGAAGATCTCCATGTTTGTGTTCTGGTGGAAAGAATTTTGCATGGATCAAGTAAGCGTACTTTGAAGTGTTTCAATTGGTACTTTGAGAGGAGGTGAAAGAGGAAATTGAAGTAAAACTTCGAGTGGACTTTGATAGTTGCGTTCTGAATGGTATGCTCTTTGCTTGAAGCAGTTTTCTTGTGCAGTGAACAAATTAAACAGCGACAGTTTTATTCCTCTGGGTTATAAAACCATGTAGACTGGTGGGTATATACCAGTGTTTTATAGAGACTTACTGTCCCCATCTTCAGGGCTGAAGATGGAGACAGTATGTTTCTCCAAAACATTGATATCTACTTATGAGTCTACATGGTTTTTACAAACCAGCAGAAAAATATAATCATCTTCTCTACTGTGAAAACCTCAAATAACAAACTAAACAGTTTTATTAATATATATACATTTTCCAAGCACTTCTTTTTGTTATTTATCATTTTTCCTTGATCCTGTTTCACTCGCTGCAAGGGCAAATGTGTTGTTGACAACTTATTGACTAATTGTACTGATATTGAAAAATTTTCAAAATAAGGAATGTAAGGTTTAAGGATGTGCATATTTTATCATGCACTACACTTCTAAGAAACTATAAATTTTATGCATGATAAGTTTGATTTTAAGTCTATGTGCAGTTCAGATTATTTGACGAGCAAATAGCAGGCAAATATGGGCCAAAATTAGATTTACCTTACATCTTTAGTTAATAATCCTAGGAATGTAAAATTTCAAAATGTGTTCTGTTGCTACAAAGATAAAAAACATTTGGTTAAGTAGTCGGACGTTATCACCCCATTGTACCGAATGTCACAGTGGTTAGCACTCTGCTTCTTATTTAGCAGGTCCTGGGCCCAGAGACTAGATATTCTAAGGGTTTTCATGTTTTTCAAAGTTCCTTAAGGCAAATGTGAGGATAGAATCATAAATTATGCCTTGAATGTTTCTACATCCTTCCCATGTCATCATCCATTAATTATCGTAACATTCAAGTTTGTGTAGTTTGAGGTTTCTACAGCGTTGATAAAATATTGTCTGGCTATCAGACATATCAGATGAGGTGGTTACAAATCAGTGTTTCAGGGACCAGTTCCATTCCCTTCATCAGAATTTGATCAGAGAAGATTTTTCATTAATGTTAGTCGCTGTGAAAGCTTCAAATTTTACACTTCCTCCAGCACTGTTAAATAAACCACGAGTAAGATAGATCTTGCCATTGTGTGTTTATTTCATGTACTCTTTGCAAGTAACGCATTAAAATCATAAGATATTCTTTGTTTGTAGTTCAAAAACTAAGAATGCAGTTTAATTTATTCTCAGCACAGTAATGTACTTATTGATGAGCATTGCTTTTCAATACTGTGGTGATTCATGTCATCACACAGAGCAGGGAATCATATGGATATATTCACCTCCTTTACTAACAGTGGTGTTGTTGAGTGTCGCACCCTCTAGCTCCCTGATGATCGTGGTGATATTATGTGGTGCCTGATACTTCCTGTTATCTGTGTTGTCCCAGCGCGGCTTCTCCCAGCAGCTGGCTCCCATTCAAGAGGTAAAGAGCTTGCGAACTGACGCCTTCTTCTCTTTCTCCTCACAGTTGATTAAAATTCTTACACGTGCCAAGTATTTGAAGACAATGCATTTCCTATCTTACTTAACCACCATACTTATATCAGGTGGTTCTTAATGGGTCAAGAAACTAATATTTCTCTTGTTGTTGGTCTTCTGGGTTGTAATGCCATGTGGACATGTACATAGATACCAGTGTTTCAGAGGAACATATTGTCTCCATCTTCATCTGAAGATGGAGGCATCTTTTAAAGTCTACAACTGATATTATTACGTTTTTTTATACATATTTTCTTATGCTCTTTTTTGCATGCAAATATTTTAACCTTACTTCTTAAACCAGTTTTCATATTTCATGCTGGTAATTGTTTGTGCTCTTGCAAAAACAAAATTTCACACCTATTCCCCTCCCCCACTCCCCTCTCCCAACCCCACAAGAAAATATAACTTTTATTCATATAAAAAAAACTTCCATGGTATACACATGTTACTGAAAATTAAAATATCCATGAAATTATCAAAACCATGTTACATTTCTTCTTTTTCTTGGAAAAGAGAGGGGAATAATTTGAAAAATAAGTTTATGAAAGTCACAGTTTCTTTCGTGAATTGGAAAATAAACTTTGCCTTTGGTGTAATTATTGGTCCTTCGTAACTAAATCTTTTCTTTCCTAACTAAATTCTATCAGAAAAAATATGTTGTTTCAATCAGATCAGGGTACGAGGAAGCTTATAAAATCAAAGCGAGTTGGCGTAGCATTACCATGTCATATTCAGGAGTTGGTGTGTTTTGAGAGGAAAGAAGGCAGTGGGCAATATCAGAATAAGATACTTCCATATCATTGTCATGTACCTCTGTAAATGAGAGGACTTTGCCTCCTCCTTCCGTTTCTCTGTCGAAAACCAGATCCTTAATTGATTTCTTCAAGTGTTTGGCACTTTGGTTTAGTCTTTCACATTTCCACTAATATCAGCTTCTTACTTTCTGAGTGTGCGTCCTATAACTGCCGTTGTTGTGTGTGGAGTGCCTGCAGTTCTGAGTGTTGTGATATATCAGATCCCATAACCTCACAGGACCTCAAGCGGCAAACACTTGTCGTTCTTTGTCTTTGTGTTGAGAATGCATCAGACATCACTTCATGTTTCCCTTTTGTCTAAAGCCATGTTGGAGCATAGTATATCATAATTGACTTTTTAAGTGATGAGATTCCCTGAGCACAGAATGAACCAAAGCATTTTGTATTTGGTCCTGAACTAAGGACATAAAGTAGTGGTTGTTTATATCCAGACTAGTGAAAGCACCGGTCTTTGTCATGGGTTTTCCTGGAATAAACTCTACTGAAAATGTCAAATTCCTCGTAGGTCAGGTTTTGTTGGTCGTTTTCGTCTATGTAACACACAGACATTTATAAAGTGATCTTATTTCTTTAAAATATAGAATGATAAAGGTATGAGATGAAACTTCACATTAGACATGAATATTTATTTTTGATCAGCTTATTTTGGTGGTAAATTATAATTGTTATCTTGAAAGATTAAAGGCATGATCATTACCCAAAAAATCTGGGTTTATAAGAAGTTTCTGAGGAAAAATATGGCATTATTCTAGGTTCAGGGGATACATTTCCTGTCTGTCTGAGTGAATAATGGTTGAATGTTGCATTCTAGGTTCAGGGGATACATTTCCTGCCTGTCCGAGTGAATAGTGGTTGAATGTTGCAACCCCTGGTTAGTGCATGCTATGTTTGTGTTCACGTTAAAGCACCTACCTCTTGGTTTGTAATCCATGATACAGAGTGGTAAATTTTCATTACATTTCTTGATTGCAATATTGGCATTTTCCAACTTATGTTGTATTTACATATGTGTTATTTATTGTTCTTTCTTATCTTTTTCATTGACACTATAACACCGTAAGTGTCTCTGATTTAGTGAAGTGGTTGAACATGGCAGTATTTGTCGGTAGATGCCAATACTGTCAGCAAAATATTGTCAATTTAGAATAGATGCTCTGTATCATCTCTTGTAGTCACTTCTCCACTCCAGTCTCTAAGTTATATGATATACATCATATGCAATTTAATTGCTAAATAGTTTCGCCCTGATGACGAAGGCAGTATGACCTCTGAAACGTTGGTTAACATCGACCAGACTACACAGCGCAATAACCCAGAAGACGGATATCTTTTAATAACTAGTTAAATTTAATTCCTGGTATTCGTAATCGCTCAGGAAGAGACTGGTTTGGACAGCATGATCTCAATACTCGTACAGTGTTAGTGTTCTTACCGGTAATAAGTGTTTGGTTTCTCAGTTTTTTTAGTTTAGTTTATCTTTACTGTGTTGTAATGTTATGTTTGCTTTCAATGAAAGTGGTTCTTATGCAGTGTGCAAATTGATATTCTGCCACAAGGGATTAATAACATTACCACATTGTGCATTTTGAACCAACTTCCACCATATATAATTAATGGGTTCCATAAATGCAGGGAATTTCTTGATGAGTTGAGTAACTCGTGTTTTCCAAAAAGTCCCTGCATTTTTGAATTTGATATTCAGATTTAATTACAAGATTTGTATGTCACTTTATCTTAAACCAAACTTATATTTGGTCACAGTAAAAAAAAGTAAACTAAATTAAGAAATTCAAAGAACCGTACATCTGTCCTAGATTAACTATGTAGAACCTCCCCCTTTCTAATTTAATTTTTGAAAAGTCTGACACCCATGAAGGTTTCAGAAGAATTTTTACAGCACTAGATGGTCAGCACTTCTGCATGGATTGGAGGATTTGCACTTCGTTAACTAACTTGTATTCTATCCCAAGTGAGGCTGGTTGTGTGTCTCATTTTAAGGTATGGTGTTCATCTGTGCTTCAACAGGTCAGAAACATAGTTCATACCAATGTGGGCATTTATTGTGAAACAGCGAGTAAAGGAAATTTAGCAAATACAATTGATGATTAGAAACATTTCAATTCACCCTGCTTTCAAAAACACTGCAGATTAATTAAGGTAAAGATTAAATTTTCTCCTTTTTTCGTAAGCTCTGTGCAATGAAGGCACATGGAAGGTAAAGATTAAATTTTCTCCTTTTTTGTAAGCTCTGTGCAATGAAGGCACACGGGGAGGTTATGGAGATAAATTTCCACATATTTTTTAACTTTGGCCGTCTGTAGGAGGTTACAAACGTTTTGTGGAATTATTAATTGCATCTTGAGGGTAAACTAACTTCTATAGTTAACCAGACGTATACATATCCTTGGCTTAGTTTATGATTCTTTGATGACAATATATGAAAAATGATATGATGACTGTGAGTGAAGAATTCAGTGGCATGGACGGAAGGAAGGAAGGGTGGGTATGTTGCCTTTTTTAGGTACTTGAGATTTGTTAGAAAGGACTGAAGACAATCGTGGAATCCTCAGTAAGGTAGTTGATTTCTCAGATGGGATTCACACCTCCTTTCCCACAAATACAAAAATGGGGCTGCTAACAGCTGTGTGCTGAAGTTGTTTCTTTTATAGTGTATTTGATGATACCACACACGTTTCCAAACATGGTGATTATAAATCACAGAATAAAAAATAAATCTTTGGTTTGGAGGTTTTTCCCTTGCAAGAATGAAGGAGGAATGTGACACTCAAAGCTGTCAAGACACGAAGCACAGGAAATGAACCCATACCTTCAGAGTGAGCATACATTGGTGCCGTATCTAAGTCGCTGTCCACAATTGTGTGGAACAGCGACTTTACACAGCCTGTTGATAACAGCCGCAGTCGAACCAGCATCACACACTCATCATTGAGGAGTTCGAACCAGACGTGTTTCGTCAGCTGATAGAATACATCCACACCGGCTGCGTGACGCTACAGCCCCGAACGCTGCTTGGTTAGTAGGCATGTTTGTAGTCTGTTAACTAGTCTAAACCACAGGGGGGTCAACACAGCACCCTCATGGTCGAGGAGTTCGAGCCAGATGTGTTCCGCCAGCTCATAGAGTACATCCACACAGGCACCGTTACGCTGCAACCACGGACCTTGCTTGGTGAGTTCATGCAATGTTTCTTTAAAGTTCAGAGCTGATATCTTGTTGATAGAATTCCCCTACCTTGTGATGACTGGTCTTTTAGTCTAATTTTATTAAAATTATTGTCTCCAAAGTGTATGGTGTGAAAATTCTTGAAAAGTGGCCACTGGTATGATTAAGAATGAAATGGGAGGTTAATGCAGAAGCCAGACCAAAAGTGAATGCCACACGTAAGGACAAGTAAATATCTCGGGAACCGTAATTTTCTTCTGTTTGACGTGTTCCAAACGGCAAGTGTGTGCTGTGTCTAGAAAAGCGCACCTTGCTACTATCTTATTTTTATTTTCAATTTGCCTGTAACAAAACCATTAAATTGCTTCGTTGTTGTTGATGATGAAAGATCAAACTGTAAGCAAACATGTTATATTACAAATTATATTTATTTATATTTATATACTTATTTATATTTATACACAGAGTTTACCATTTAAAATGCAACCCATCAGCAATTATGTACACTACAGAATCATAAGTAGGTCCATCGCCATGTAATAAACTCAGAGAATTTTCCCCAGCGCAATCTTGTTGCTAGGCTTCTGCTCACAACAGCTGCTCAAAGGCTGTGCAGATCCAGACATGGTGTATTTATGAGCAGAACATGTGTTCATTCCTGAACACTACATTATATATGTTGAAATTGATAATATATATTATTCATCATTTTGGATTATAGAAAACAATGTTGTGGTATTGTTACTTTTTTTTCAAGCCTTTCCATTCCCAGTACCATGTAAAATGATTAAACAGATCTTTGAAGGTTTTCTCAAAATCAAGAAACATGAGATGATGGGTGAGGCATGGAGCATGGATGGAAATGATGAGAAATTTTTAAAAAAAGTCAGTCAAGAACCAGAAGGGAAGTGACAACTTGAAAGACCTGGGCATAGATAATATTACTGTAGTTTTGTTTTGTACATTATCCATTTTTTTTTCAGATCCCAGTATAAAACTATCGCATCACTTTTACTGACATCACGCTGCGCATGTTTTAGGGGTAATGAATGCGGCAGACTATTACGGCCTTGACGAGCTGCGCAGAGCCTGTGCTGGCTTTGTGCAGTGCTGCATTAATGTGGACACAGTGTGTGCTCTTCTTGCCTCAGCTGAACGCTACATCCAGTATAAATGCACCAAGTCACTCGTTCAAAAGGTAACAATTACATTACAGTTCTTAGTGACATTAATTCCAACATTTCTGCTCATCCCTGCTCTGTTAGTACAAGAGGGATGTAGAGAAATTCTTATTCAATTCACATGCACTGTTTTCTCGGTTTGTCTCAGTCTCCTTGATTCAACTACCCTGGCAAGAAAAGGTTATGTAATCAGTTTTTGTAGTCTGCAAGTGGTTTATGTATTATTTTATTATTATTGTAATTTTTATTGCTATTGTTTCTGGTTTATGTATTATTTTATTATTATTGCTATTGTTTTTTTCATATCTTAATCCCTTACTCCATTTCTTAACTTTATTTATTTTGTATGTTTATCTGCTTTTCTCCTTTCTTCTCATATTCCTTCACATCCGTTTGAACTTAAAAACAGCAGGTGATATGAGCAGTTATGTTATTTCAACTTCTTTGTCATTCATATTAGAAGTACTTCTAAATGCTGCCTAGTTGTAGCAGCCCTTGTAAAACAGAATGTTCTGCCATGTAGTGTCATTACTTATATTATACTTGTTATATTCTAAAACGTTTTTACCAGCACAAAAATTATCTAGTCTACGACGCAATTCTTCTACAAGCGACTCACAGCTCAGCTCTTTCCGCAATAACGAAAGTGGATTGTTGACGGCAGTAATGTAACACAACAGTGCCGAGTAAACAGATTTATCTATTATATATAATGGGTGGGTTTATTTGTAACTTAGCTCTATATGACTTGTATTTGTATAACATGTATTGTATTAATATGACTTATTCTACATCCTATTGTCATCTGACTAACTTATGGATACATGGAATGTAATAAAGATGTATGTATGTATGTATTACCAAGAACATTGCCAGTCATACATAATACAGTTATCAGAGGAGAAAAGGAACGTGTACATCATTTTGTTTGGCATCTCTCTTGGAAAACCAGTTTTTTAATTATCAGGAATCAGGTGAGAGAGTAACCTCAGTATCGATATTAGGGAGACGGCTTGTGAGGATGGCAGTTGGATGGAACTTGCCAGCAAGTTACAAAATCTCACACAGGGCCTCGGACTTGATTGGGCCGTTGTGAACACCATAATGAACCTCCAGGTTCCATAAAAGGTAGGTAGTTTCTTGACTTCATAGTTATACGTCCAGGTACAGGATCTAATTTTTTTTCTTTGTGTTTTGGATAGGCTTATGAATATGTCTCGTGATGTGTTGCAGGTCTTGGAATTTGTTGATGAGCATGGGAATGAGGTCCTGAACCTGGGGTCCTTCACGCTGCTGCCACAACATGTGGTGCGTCTCATACTGGCAAGAGATGAACTCAGAGCTGATGAGTTCACCAAATTTCAGGTCTGAAAGGACAGCAATTTTATTGTTTTAAGCATCTAACCTAAAGACTGAATGATGATTCTTGAAGGAGTCCAGTCATCAGACTCCCTGCTGTGTTGTGAGTCTGTTTATATGTTTGTAATGTGTAGTTTAGTTATTTTATGTCAGTATTGATAACATTTCAAATATTTGTTGGTGGCAAATGCATCCAGTTGTGGTTTCACCGAAATTCCTGGCCTATGCTGATTCTGTAAGATTGAAAATAAATTGCATTTAATGAAATATCTCAGAAACAACTCACCATAAAGGAATGTTTAGACAGAAGTTAAATAGATGATATTATCTGCACTGCCAGGAATAGACTTTTGTCTGCAATATATTTGAATCAGTTTCTGTAATTTTCCTCTATGTATTGGTACCTTTTATTGTGTTTTCAGGCTGCTCTAATGTGGGGCAAGAAGTACTGTGATAGCAATCCGAACACGCCGCTTAAGGATGTGATTGGAAACTTCTTGGAGTACATCCAGTTTCACAAGATCCCAGCAAATGTGCTGATGAGAGAGGTCCATCCGCTTGGTCTAGTTCCATACAGCATCATTATGAATGCCTTGGCCTACCAGGTGATGCAGAGAATTCCATTCATTAAATTGTGGTGCAATCACACACCACTGTAGTGACTTAATCACCCTCATGATCTGGTGCAGCCACCTTGTATTAACTACTTACGTGAACAATTGCAGCTAGCGCCTTATCAGTGTGGGTAAGTACAGACAGCTGCCATATCTACCAATGTGGGCAAGTGCACCTTATTTACCACGGTGGGCAGTGTAGCTGTCTGTCTTATCTATCCATTTATCATATCCATCGGAAGTTGCGTGACAAAATCATATTTTGATATTAATGGTTTGATTTATAATATCAAAATATGACAAAATCATATTTTGATATTATAAATCAAACCATTAATATAATTATTTTGTAGGAATCATTGAACAGAGACTGTCTGTATATTTAAAAAAATGGTACAACTATAAAAAGTGTTCTGCCTTCTGTAGAACTGGGTCTG